ATATTGATACAATAAAGAATAGATTAAATCGATGAAAAATGACCACTAAAATCTTGAATTGGCGGAAAACCCTAATCCTAAAAAAAAAACCCAAATTATTACAACCTAACTAACTATAATCCAAAATTATTACAACTTATCTAACTATAATATTATATACTGAAATTGAAATTGTTGGTTTACATTTATAATTATTTTATTATACAACTAATAACAAATCCTAAATATCTTATAATATCATCTAATTTAAAATATTTTATTAATAACTATAAGAAAAATACTACATTACATGATTTATAATATAAATAAATTAATAAATAAAATAAAAGATTTGGATATCAATGTAGAAATTATTAGAATGCGTATCAATTTTTAAAACAACACTTTAATTTTTAAAAAATTTATTTTTTTAAGTTTCTAGAATAAATTTAGTGGAAGTGATTTTTAGTAGAAAGAGATTTCAAATGGCCTTATTATATGAACCCTGTCTTTAAATTAATATTCCTAAATTTATGTTAAAGATCACTATATTACAAAAATAAAAAATATAATTACATCATTTATTCCTAAGTTGTATTAATAAATACTTGTTATATTAATAAATGCCTTTTATTTTTTTTAACAATAAATATTTGTTGTATTAATTTTTTTTTTATAAGAAAAATATGATACTTGTTGTATTACTTTTTATTTATTTTTTGACAAAAAAAATGAGAAGATGTTGTACTATATTTTTTTATTGTTGTATTATCTTTTATTTTATTTTTGACAATAAATACTTGTTATATTACTTCTTCTTCTTTTTTTTGAAAAGAAAAATAAAAATATGTTGTATTACTTTTTTTGTTTTTTTTTTTACAAGAAATTCGTGTTGTATTACATTTTATTTTTTTTTTCCTTTTATTTTTTTTATAGCACTATTTTTCTCTTTTATTTTTTAATAAAAATAAAAATAAAACTCTAAATGATACACAGTAAAAATTAATAAATAAAATAAAATGTTTTGTTATCAATGTAGAAATTATTAAAATGCGTACCGATTTTTGAAATAACACTTTAATTTTTCTAAAATTTAATTTTTTTGGTTTTGAAAATAAATTTAGTAAAAGATATTGTTAATACAAAGAGAGAGATTTTAAATAGAATAAAGTTTGGATTTTTCATTTTTTTTTACACCTTTTATATTATTTACAATAAAAATAACTTATAACGCTTGGGACATCAATGAAGAAATTACAACCAAAGAAATACAAAGCGCCCAAGGTAGGAGGATTCGAGCTTGGGAGGTCAAGGAAGAAATGGGACGTAATATCCATCAACACCAGCTTGCCATTTCCTATTAATAGTACATATTCAAATTCGGTCTTCATTTAATGATGTTTGTGGGAATTATCTCACATTGAAGGATCTGTATTAAACATTTTTCTATAAATAACAATGTAATAACATAGAACATACATGTGTTAAGCCACTGAGGCAGCCCAACGTGTAAGGTACCACGTGTGATCGTGATACTGCGGGTGTGTGAGATTGTGCCACATGTAGAATCAAAGATTGGGTGATATCAAAATTGCTAATTTATGTCTATTTTGCTGGAATCGGTCTATTTTGCTGGAACCGACACGTGGGTGCCGATTCTCGAGTCGAACCGAGCTCCACTTTTCAAACACTGATTCAATCTGCTTTAAGGCCATTTTTGCAAAAAGATATAAAGTCCCAAAACGACGACGCGCTGCTTCGGGATTGCATTAGCTAAAGAGATATCCCATTGGAAAATAAAATTTGCTCCTAATTATTTTCATTATCTTCAAATTAGGCATGCCCTCGATACTATCCCCCTGTCACTTTGCCTAAGGGTAAATTAATTACCCAAAAAAAAGGCTATTGACAAAAGGGAAATGTTCATATAGAGCCGAGGCTCTAAACAATCAAATTAGAGCTTATTTCAAAATTTTCATTAAAAGAGGTTATTTTGATACCCAAATATCATCAAATTGATCATTTCGACATCAAGATGCATGGACATGAGAAATTTTGGATTTCAAGTTTTAAAGCTAATGTATTTTGGTTTCAAGATTTTCAAATTTTCATAAATCTCTCGATCTACACAATTTTTGAAGCTTTAAACTTTATAAATAAAAATAAAAATATATTTTAAAGCTATCAAAAAGATTTCTAGTATTGAAACCACATTTATTGACACTATTTGAAAGTAAGCTCTAATTTAATTGTTTAGAGCCTAGGATCTATACGAACGGCACCCTTGAACACATTAGATTGGGTCCCTTCGAGATGGATGGTTTAAGGCCATATCTTCGAGATGGATAGTTTATGCCTTCGCGAATGCAAATGTAAAAATATGTCCCATCCCAACGCAAATAACACTTTACTTTTTAGTCAATACCTTATCGTAATTCGTAAGATTCTTTTTATTGAAAAACTAAATTTTAAATAATTTAGTGTTTGAAAGACGTGTATCTTTTTAATATTTTAACGGTAGCACCAGAAGTGTTTCTTGTCGGTTTATCATTAGGACCGGATTTCTATGCCGCCAAGGCCACACATGTGGATATGCGGGCTGTTAATAAATCTATTTTGAAGATAGATTTTAAGATTTAATTTAAAAAATATGTAATCTCTAACATGGAGATGATGAATATAAAAAAATAAATAAATTTTAAAAATTAAAAATAATAATTTTCCTCAGTAAACATTTGGACCGTTAGTTTTTATCGTTTTTAGATAGAACACCTACTTGCATCTATCTTTAAAATGGATGTTTTACACTTTTTGGGCCGTATATGTAGAAATGCAGTCCGGCTTGTATGAAACAATTTTCTTTATCATTATGCATCCAACTCTAAACTCGTCTTGTCAAATATAAAAATATAAAATTATTACAAATAATATTAAATAATTTAATGGAAAAAGTTTATATTGCAACCTTAAAATATAGAATTACATATGCACCTCAAAAATCCATCGAAAAAACTTGTTTTAATGTTGAAAAACCCTCTAATTGATCATCTCAATATCGAGCTTTAGGAATATGAGAGAAAAAAGATTTTGAGTTCAAGAAATAGTGCATCTTGCAGCACATTATCTAGACCATTCATTTTCAAAATTTTATATGTTTATAGATCTACTTGATTTGAAGCATTTTTTAACTTTAAAATTTTTATAATTAGATATGAAAATAAATTTTTAGATAATCATAAGAATTTCTTACACCAAAATTACATGTTAAGATAAAATTTAGAGGTGAGCCTTATTTGGATTGTTGAAGGCTGCAACCTTATAAAAACCACACCCTAAAATAATTATCCAACTTGGTTGAATAAGTCCACCTAGTAAAACTGGTCCATATAAACGAAAGAATTAGTTTTGATATTTTTAACTTTTGCTTTTGACTAACCAGCCAAGATATTGTTTGAGGTTTAAGTAGTCAAATAGGGTTGGCAATGGGGCCAGGTGGCTGAGCCTGGCTTTGCATAGGGGCAAGCCAGACCAAGGCCACGACATGGCCGTCCTAGTTTGGCCCGACCTAAATCTCTTTTTTCTCAAATTTCGTCCTTCTTTTTTTTTGGCATGGTGCGGCCCGAATAGGGCTACGGCTAGGCCTGGGCCGGCTCTATGGGGGCAAAGGCCATGCTCAGCCCGTTGCCCGGCATATGTTGAGGCTGCGCAGTTCAATTTGTTTTTAATCACCACCCTCTATGGAGTTGGTCCAAATATTCGCCGAACGCGCATCAAAACGCACATCTTAATTAATTGGATATCTAACTTTATATCTAAATATTCGGCTTATGTTACGATTAATTGTAGCTAATTGTATATCTAAGCTTACATCTTTTGCTGATCAGCAAAGGAAGGTCGAACACGTTTATAAGGAGTCCAATATGGCAACATATTCTTTGATTAAAGCAACGGCTTTTATGAACGAAGAAACGGTATGGCATGTTCGTCCTCTTGATTTGTAATACCTTTCATTTTATCTGATGTTGCTAGCGTTCTTTCACCGAGGGCTGTTTAAGTACCGTTAATATTGGTTTTGATTATTTAATAAAACGGGCCACTAATTCACCCCAAAAAAAAACCTTGTTAATTATCCGCATTTGTCCATGGCGCTTGCAGTTACTGCTTTACTTTGTTGAAACTCGAAAACGATAACGCACAGCTGTGGACCCTGGGCTTGGCTGGATTGGCGAGGGTGCCACCACGTGTCCAGTAATCTATCACTTCCCTATACACCCAAAAAAAAAAAAATGTGGCATCAAGGGAAGGGGTGAAAAAAGGTCGCATCAAGCCACATCTAAAGAATGTGGTTGGGGCCTCGTATTAAGAGTCAATTCCTCAACGTAGCATCCCATCTCCATTCCGACGGTTAACTAATTAAGAAAAAAAAAATATTTAATGTACCAATATGAAAATGTTTTTTTTTTTAAAAAAAATTTATTGACGAAATTGAATTGTGTTTCACTCACCACGAACCAAGACCTATACATAATGACGATTTTGTCCCTGCTCGACTTGATACTTGTGGTGTTGGAATTTGCATGACACACTGCCCGCCATGTGGCCCACAACAAGTGGCCTAGAAGCTTCTAGAAGGTTGTGGCCTTATATTGTAGAACTAAAGTTCACCTCAAAAAATCGAGTCAGAAAAGAGTGCTCCGAAGTTTGGAAGCCTTATGCTTAATCATCACGACCTCGAAATATACAACTTTAAAGAAAAAAAGAATTTCAAATCTAAAAAATAACGCATCTGGTTAGACATAGTTTATACCATCTATTTTCAACATTTTCAAATACTTATAAATCTTCCAATACAAATTTAACAAAAAATTGAGTCCCAATGCATCTTACAACACAATATCTAGACTATCTATTTTCAAGATTTTAATATATTTATAAATTTACTTGATTTTAATCATTTTTAAAATTTAAAATTTTATAATTAAATATAAAAATAAATTTTTAAACAATTTTAATAATATTTTAGGCCAAAATTGCATGTCAAATCAAATTTAGAGGGCATAGAAACCGCACCTGTCGCAATTACCTGGTTTTATTGGTGGCTTGGCCGATTTCGAGAAGGTGTAGACTTTCGCGACCACGTGCCGAATACTTCCCAGACTAACTTAAAAACGCAGACAGCTGTTCCAGTAAAAGCAAACTCCCCAACAAAACAAACTGTCATCAGGCCACATCCCTCGTGGAGTGTTCGGTTTTGCTATAAAACCTCCCCTAAAAGCCCTTGGATAAGAGGAACCGCACCTACCCTGAAATTTACACACAGGCTTTAAAGAGAGGGAAAGCGACCAGAGAGTGTGAAGTGATCCCAGTGTAGGTACTTAGAGAGAGACCGAGATTTATTCGTCATAAACTTTGTATGTAAGCAGAGGAGAGGCCTAGACACGGTAGAAATTCGAGCCAAGTCTGGAGAGAGAGAGAGAGAGAAAAGTGAATATTGTGAGTTTGAGACAGAGAGAGATATGAAGATTGAAAAGCAGAGCTCAAGGCTAGTAACCCCATCCTGTGAAACCAAACCCCTTACACCTTCAACCTGCACCATCATCACCTTAAACCCCTTTGACCGAGCAGCCGGCAATGACCACATCCCCATAATCTTTGCCTACAAAGCTCCAACACCCCCTAACTCGGCCATTGAGCGTGGCCTTGGCCTCGTGCTTTCCGATTATCGCGTGTGGGCTGGCCGCCTCACAGACGATGAAAGAGCCGTTGTCCTCAACGACAAAGGTGTGCGCTTCGTCGAGGCCACGGCTTTCTGCACATTAGATGAGGCTAGTCCCTTCAAATCAAACACCCAATTATGGGACCTTCACCCAAGCGTCGAAGACGTTGAGGAGCTAATGCAAGCCCAGCTCACTCGCTTCACGTGTGGCTCCCTTGTTGTTGGCTTCACATCCAATCACATGATAGCTGATGGCGAGGCCACGGGCAGGTTCCTTGCTGCCTGGGGGCAAGCCACTCGTGGCTTATTGGACTATCCGGTACCAATACATGACCGAGCCATGCTCAAGCCACGCGATCCACTCTCCATCGAGTTCGACCACTTGGGCAACGAATACATGGAGAAGAGGCTCGTAAAGGAGTTTTCATGGGAGGGAATAGTGAACCAGCTCAGAATGCAAAAATTCCATTTCTCACCCGACTTTTTAGCCAAGCTCAAGGCCCGCGCGTCGGTGCGTTGTCCAAGCGGCGGCGGCTATAGCACGTACGAGAGCGTCGTCTCTCACGTTTGGCAAAAGGTGACGCGGGCAAGGGGCGCTAGCGTGGGCGAGGAGGAGATAAGCCAGGTGGGCATCTCCGTCAACTTGCGCACCCGCCTAGTGCCTCCGATTCCCCGTGAATACTTTGGCAATATGGTTCTGTGGGCTTTTCCTCGAACCACGGTGCACGAGTTATTGAGCCAGCCACTGGACCGCGTGGCTGCGTTGGTGCACGCGGCGATTGCGCAAGTGAATGATAGATACGCTAGGTCTTTTGTGGACTTTGACGCTCTTGTGGAGAGAGAGGGGCGTTGGGGTGAGTTGGTCCCCACGGGCGAGGTGGAGTCGGCGGTGTTTTGCCCTAATTTGGAGGCCTCTAGCTGGCTATGGTTGCCGTTTGATGAAATGGATTTTGGGAGTGGGGGGCCAGATGTCTTCATGCCGTCTTTCATTCCTTACGATGGGGATGTGGTGATTGTGTCACCGATGAAAGGGAAGAGGGGAATAGATGTGTATGTCTGCCTATTCGAGAACATCATGCCTGTGTTTCAGGACATATGGCACACCCTTGACTAGATAACCCCAGTCCTCTCTCTCTCCTCACACGAGATCTGTCGCAACATAGGCTAGATCTCTAGAGTGGGGACTCACTCTCGCACATAAATCGGATTACTCCTCCCCTGAATCTCTCTCTCCCAGTACTCCCTTGCGACCTATGTTTAGGATTTTAGAAGGGACGCGGTTTCTATGCGGCCAATCCCGCATATGTAAGAATGGAGGCTTCTTAATAAATTTATTTTTGAAATGGATTTTAAGGTTTAAGTTTTAAAGATATGTAATCTTTAACTTAGATATAAATAGATAAATAAATTTAAAAAATTAAAAATAATACTTCTCATAAAAAAACATTTAGACGGGTTAATTTCCATTGATTTCATATAAAACACCTACTTGCATCCGTATCCATATTAAAAAGGATGCTTTACGCTTTATGGATCATAAAAAAGCAGTCCAGCTCACATTATAGTAAAATATTAATGAATTGTACTAATGCAGTCCAGCTCACATTATAGTAAAATACTAATGGATCGTAAAAATGCAGTCCAGCTCACATTATAGTAAAATATTAAATAGAGATCGCCAAAAAATAAAGTAAATAATAAAATCATGTAAAAATGACATAAAACAGAATAATGATAGTAGTTATTCTATAGATACATTAAATCTATTAAAAATAATTTCATGCTGCCTCTCGGTTTCTCCCCATACATAGAAATCTCCTTATACTTCCATATTCCTTTAGCCATGTATTTATTTCTCTCCGGTAGATGCGTGCATATAATCTCTTCTCTTGATAAAAATGTATTTTTCCAGGTTGTATCCATATGCCCATCCAAACAAAAAACGAAATCCATTTTACAAGAAATATTTCTCGCAAGAAATATTTCTCGCAAGAAATGTATTTCCTCGTAATGAGTTTTTTCTCAACAATTTTTTCCATAATCCAAGTGGCGCCTTATATTGTTGTGATTGGAAGTCTGATGGAACTTATAGAAAGTGGATAAAGCTGAGCAACCCACCACAAAAAAAAGTCACCAAGGAAGGGAGTGGAATCAACCTTTATCAATAAAGTAATGATCGTAAAAAAATCTTTTCAATTCACCTCTCTTGAAATATTTTGTTAAAAACACCAAAACTGCCTGTATTTTATATTCCAAATCTTGAGTCAGCAGGTCCATTATGGTAATTTGGTTCATGAAAAAAGTGGAGAGGAATAATCAAATTACCCTTGTTTCTTCCCAGCTTCAAACCCCAAAACAAGGGAGATTAGTGAAACAAGCATATGTTCTAGAAAGGGTAGTTGTGTCATTTTGCAAGGCTAGTGAGACCAAATTAACGGAATAAATATACATGCAAGCAATTCCTCTAAGCGACCAAATTGAATAGATATTTGAAATGTTTTGTTTTAAGTAACCACTTTTTCAACGAATTGTTCGATTTGATCACCTTAATGAATTTTTAAAATGGTTTGACAATTTTAATGTTATTTTTTTCTCAGGAAAAGGATTGCAAGATCTGGCCTGACTGTATAATGGGGCAGTCGAACGTATCAAATGCATAGGGCGAATTTTTTATTTGAAAATTTTCAAAGTATCTATGCCGAATAGATTATCTATTCCCATTTGACTTCAATTTTTTTGAGATTATATATTTCCACCGCTAGGTTTCACTCTTTTTACTTCTTGTATCTTTGACATGGAAAAAGTATTTTGGGTTATTTCAAAATAAAATTTTTCAAAATTATAATCCTATGGATAGCATATTTTATCATATTAAAAGGAAAGGTGAAACATTTCCTCGTCTACATATAAAGATTCATCCTCTACTTTTGTGTTCGTGGTATTGACCTAAAAAGAGCAAATTACGTGAGGGTCAGTTAACATTTGGTATTCAATATGCTCAATATTACGAACATCACTCTCCTCTCTTGTTGTTTATTTGTTTTTCTTAATTGCCCTTATGTCCGACAATAACAATATTAGACATAAAGCTTTTTCAAATTTCAAACGCATAATCTGGCATTTCTATTACCGGACAACCTCCTCCTTTGTTAAGTATAGTTATTTGTGCAACCCTTCTCATATTTTACGCCCATGTTCTCTCCAACATGCCATTAAAAATGTGCTCCTTCGGTGCTCTCTCTCCATCAATTCCTAATCTCCCCTCTCTCTCTCTCTCTATCAAATTGCTCATAAACACGACCTTCAAAAAGAAACTCTCTCTCTATCAAATTGCTCATTAACAAACCATCCACCACAAATACAATAATCTCTCTTCCAGAGAGAATCATAGGGAATGATACCATAGTTGTCACACCCCAATAATTTAAGATATCGATATTTCTGAGATGTGACAGTCAAAACAAAGCAATTTTAGATATCTACCATGCATTGAATCAAATTCAAAACCCCTTACTATTTTATTTTTTATTTTTTTTGAAATTTTAGGATTATTGTATAAACTCTGTTCATAACTAATATTAACGTAAAGGTCTAAACATATATACATCTCTTGACTGGACAAATTTACAATGGCGAATTCTTACAAAGTAATAAAAGAAAGTTTAAAAACAACTACAATATGTTCCAAAGTTGATCTTGACAAGCACTCAAAATAAAACCGCAGTTATCCTAAAAAAATGTTTATTATAGTTTGATGAGTTTGGCTACTCAGTAAGTGATCATCATAATCCTAAAAATAATCATGGTTGAAAGATATCAATATTTTCAAAAAGGAGATCTATTGACAACAATGCATCAACAGTTTCACTTTCAAAAATACATAGTTAAGTATAATTCAAATAATTGAAATGCGTATAACATTTTAACGGCAGTGCATAATTCAAAGGATTTCACAAAATACCCTATTGGCATCCCAAGTAGGTCACCTATATACCCCATCAGCGTCCTGATAGGTCCACTTAATCGCTATCAGCGTCCCAGATAGATCCACTTAATCATTGCAGGTCCACTTATACATCACCGTCGTACCGGACGAGTACAAGTAATCCCTACCGGCGTATTGGATAGGTCCAATTATACCTCACCGGCGAACTAGATGAGTCCACTTGCATACTTAAAGTATTTCTAAATCTCTTTAAACATTCGAAAGCAGTAATATCATGTAATCAACACATCACTGCAATTATTAATATGAATTTCACTGAAACCATTAATAACAATAACTTTCAATAACATTTTAAAAATACCCAGTCAAATATTTTGGCCTCAAATTCAGAAAGGTAGCAGTTCGTAAAGACATTCTAGCATAATTGCCAATCTAGTATGTATAGAAAAACTCTTATAGAAATCTATGAAAACGGAATTATCACAATTTATGGGATGTCAATTCCAAATAAACATTTCACAGACAATGCTATAATCAAATGATAGTAGAAAGAAATCTCACAATTTTACTAAAAGCAAAAATATCACATTTATTTCTAATAATTTTACAGTATCTAAAATTCTCTAAAAATAGACAAGAAAAATAAATTTATTTCTAAGAATTTACAGCATTTAAAATTTCTAACATAGATAAAATATCGCAGTTTTATTAAAAAGATTATTTTTCGAGACAATGAGGTCACTTACAGTTGCTCGTCAGATTTGATTCATCGGAGCCAAATATAGGTATGGACCTTCAAAATGGTCTAAGAGATTCAAGGTTTAGAGTCCCTAAGCTTTACTTTGTACGGTTACTGCTCTCGCTTTTTTATTTTCTTTGGAGGAACTAACCCTTGTCGGATGGTCATGCCCCTTGAAATTGCCAACTACATGGCAGAAGTAAAAATTATATAAGCGAAGTAAGACCTCATTACTAGCCTGTTAAAAAGGGATGGTCGGAGAAGGACTACTCTAAGAGAAACATCAAAGCGTGCTTTCCTGTTATCCTCAGAACTCATACGTATATAACGGATATAAGGGAGAACACTTTTTTCTTTTTTCTAATGATTTACAATATTTAAAATTCCTAACAGTGAATAAAATTTCACAATTTTACTAAAAGTTTTTTTTTTTTTCAAAATAATGAGGTCGCTTGCGCATAAAATTTATCTCGCCTAAAATTCATGATAATAAGTAGAAGTAATTATTTCATTTCATTTTAAAAAAGAACGGATTATGTTTCAAGATAATGAAGTCATTTACCTAAAATATATGAGAGGAAGCTTTCGATATAAATTTGACTAGAGAGAGGAGCTCACTGTGTTTGTAAGAGGGAGAGCGAGGGTGGAGTTCTGTAAGGCGACGCCTTACCCTGCACCTTATTTAAATCTTTTAAAATGCCTCCACCTCATGTATGAGGTATAGCGTAAATGTCCGCCTTTAACATATGAAAACTACGTCCACTAAAGGACGTGGCAATGCAACAAATCTTAAACCAAATGAAGGTAAAAACTTTTGAAAGTTGTGATGGTCCCTAAGGAACATCATGCTCATATGGACCATCCTACGTTTCCATTCCCACTTACACATTTTAAAACTGCTAACCGCTAATTATTTCTAAAAAAGAGTAGGGTCTGTATTCCCACCTACCCAAAATAAAACTTTAAGAGTATTTGCCATGCTAGGGGTAATAGGCGCATTTATAAATTTATTTCTGCACTTATTTCTCTATCAATTTGAATCTAGAGGCGTGGCATGAACTTCGAATAAAAGTAAAAGTTCTACCAAGAGAACTTTTACTTTACTATGGCCAGCACAATTAGACTTCAAAAGGGAAAACTATTAGGTGTGCTTTCTATAAGGTTGCAACCTTAAACAATTCAATTAAAGTTCACCTTCAAATTTTATCATAACATGTAATTTTGGGGTAAAAAATTCTTAAGATTATTTCAAAATCTATTTTTATATCTCATTATAAAATTTCAAAACAAAAAATGGTTAAAATCAAGTAGATCTATAAACATATGAAAATCTTGAAAATAGACGATTTAGATAATGTGTTGTAAGATATACTATTTTTAAGACTCAAAATCTTTTTTTTTTTATATATATATTCATACATATCGACATTGAGATAATTAATTAGAGAGTTTTCCAACATTAAAGCAACTTTTTCTGATGGAGTTTCGAGGTACATCATCAATTCTATATTTTAAGGTTGCGACCTTATATAAATTTTTTCCAAACTATTACCAAGCTTCAAAAAAGAGTCTGTATTTGTTACATATATCTATCAATTGGAAACGACCCGGTGTTTCACATATAAAAAGTTGCGGGTACTTATTAAAAATTCGGGAGT